CCAAAGATTTGGAAATTGGTCCGTGTGCAAAGCATTGTGGGGATTTTAAGACCCCGGAGGATACACATGTGCAGCCTCGAAATTTCCCGCAACGAAGGACGCCGGCCTCGGTAGAATTCAAAGTACTGCTGGACATTGGAACAGTCCTTCGGCGGGACTCAATGACGTAGCATCCTTGAAATAGTGGCTCTGGAGCATCCTTCCTCGACATTGAGAAACACCCAGTATCTTACACGCCAAAAAGTAATTTGCCGACTTTAATTTGTTCAAAAGTTAGATAATTAACCTGATAAATTAAAATACCATGGCAAAAACGTTCTTATTCAAAGTACTTGCTGAAGATCAATCATACAGGAAAAAAGAATATATATTTAATTAAAGTAAAATATAGATCTGAGGTTGAGGCCTACTGAATACAATTTAAACCAATACATTATTATCCATGATCCTCTGAGGCCTCACCAGGTCCGGCGTCCATGGACTTGATCTGTTTCCCGGACTCCAGATCCCAGAGACGGATGTGAGCGTCGAGGGAGCTGGAGGCGGCGATGGCTCCGTTGTGACTGATGTCCACCGACACCACGCCCAGCTGGTGGCCCTCCAGAGACCACTGCAGCTCCAGCTTCTCATCACACCTGCAGGGACACGTGAGGACAAACTGTCAAATAACATCAACTCAACTTTTAGGACAACATCGAGGAGAAAGTTCTGAAAGTGCCTAGAAATAAAATTCTACATTAAAGGTCCCCAATTACACTTCTTTTCATCAATATATTATAGGTCTCAGATATATACAGAACTGGCTCCAAACACCAAACAGATCATTGCAGCATCCCATAATCCCCTCTGTTTCAAAAGTGCTGATTCTCTGTCTGTTACTTTAGATGAAAATAAGGAGCCCCTCCCCACGCCCCTCTGAGAGAGATTTGGTTAAAAAGAACACAATGGTGCTCTAGGAGGAGATTCAGGGGATAAGGTGTGTGTGTGTGTGGGGGGAGTTACCTTGGTGGTGATTGGCTAATGGTCACACAAGCCAAAACATCGTTATGACATCATAAAGTGGCCAAAATCTGATCAGAGACATTTTCAGACAGGTTTTTATAGAAATGGATCAGGACAAAAAGAGAGAGAATCTTTTTTCCTGAAACTTTCAGAGTCTCTTTACGCAGAGGGGACACGTGTTGATGTAGAAGAGACATGGAGATGTGAATTTTGCATAACAGGTGACCTTTAAACATCCACAATTCCATGACAAATGTCTAAATCACATTCAATAAAGATTTATGAGAAAATGGGTGATAAAAAGGACCAGAAACAAACCCTATAGCAACAGTGAGATGCCCAATAATGTCAACATGGCATATTCTTTTTCCTTACATTAAATATGTGCTGGTAAATACTACTATTGAAGATCTGAAATGAAATTGTAAACATTTCCTGATCTGATGCAAAGTTGAACCGTTGCTACAGATTTACTTCATGTCATTTTGGTTTGTAACAGATTTTGTTGAAGGAAAAGTTTTAGATTTAAAAGCGGGGACATTGCTAAAAAGGGAATAAACTGAGGCGGGCAGTCAGGTGTGCTACTGCCATCTCCATTTATGGTCACAATCAATACCCTTACTACCCCTACAGATCAATACAAAATGACAACCGTCAGGCTCAGTTAGGATTACCTGGAATGAACACAGAGAATATGATCTGTGCCGACAAAATAAAACGATGGTTTGGCTCTATGGGCTGAATGTAAAGCCTTTTTCAAAAAAGACAGTTTATCTATTCATTTTGATTAAGCCTTTAAAACATAAAGCCTTTAGAACATAAAAAAATGAAGTTTCATTCTTATGAGGGAAAACAATTGAAATACACTCACCATTTCCAGACTTTCACCATGTCATCCAGTGAGCCGGTGACAATGGTATCGGAGCCGTCCGCCTCACTCTTCCCCCACGCTGCGGTCCAGATCGCATCATCGTGAGCTGAGAGGAAACACACGGGTTAGAGCTCTGATGGGAGTGTGAGGAGAAATTATCCAAAGCTGAAACTAGCAGAGCTGATTGGTAAAACATTTAAAGGATAAGTCGAGCATCATGTATAAATGTATTTCTTATATGTCTACTCTATGCTATTGTTTGTTTTAACTGAAAGCTGTGTGATATCAATTTCCTGTGAAATGTCTATGTGAAGCGCCTTGAACTGTGCTTATTTTATGAAAGGTGCTATACAAATAAAGATGACTATTATATTATCATCACAAATCCATGAAAACTTATGTTTGAGTTTTCAGTATGTCTTTAGCAAATGTCATTTTTTAAAGACTACATTGTGCTTTCTGCATTCACTAAGGCATTTGACTGTGTGTGTGTTGGTTGAATGCTTGTATGAAATGTTAAGGTGTCATTAAGTACTTCAAAATGTAATATTATTATAATTGTCGAGGATTTACAACAGTGGATGTGACATTGACTTAAACTAAAATACAGTGTCCATGTTCAGGATAATGAAGGAATATGTCAGTGCGTATCCATAATGTTACTCACCGTGTTCTTGCTTGAAAAGAATGCTGTACTGAAATCAAAACACATCTTATAGTTAATATGTGAGCTCTTTCACACATAATGCAAACAGTCATAGGCAATATTCAGTACGAGTGTCATATATTCATTATATATACTGAATTTAATTTAAGTCATTTGAATAGAAGATACATAACAGTCAAAACAAAGAAATGGCTGCACAAATAAAGGTCAAGAATAGATAGGACCACTCAAAATAGCTTCACATGTGTAAATATAGATATGAAACGCACCAATGACCAAAACACATGTTGAGTTAGTTGAATTTGTTGCTTACTTGAGTGGTCATGTTTCGGTCCTGGGAGTCAGAGAGCCAGTTATTAACTTACTTTAACCTGAAAACAACAATAAAGTGTGTTAGTTTGACCAAGTAGGACATTGTCATTCAAAAAAAGTAGTGTCACTGACAAGAGCAACACCACATTAACAACACAATATTAAAGTCGTACAGCTGCCACAGTTAGGAGGGAATGGTCACAGAATAACAAATTAAACTTCACAGCTAAATATGTATACGGTGAGCAAAATTAAAATCTAAAAAACACGGCTAACAGCAGCTAGCTCTAACTAGCAGCGGGTGTTCTTTGGGGTTTTAACAGTTAACCAGAATAGCGGGCGATCCCCCAGTTTAGCGGACAATGTTTATTGAAAATACAACATTTAAGTGTGATAAAATGTGCACACACTTACCTTCAAATCACCTTAAAATGTGTTTTAATCAATATCTGAAGCTCGGTGATTTACATGTGAGACTCCATGACAACATCAGGCGTAACTTCCGCTCTGCGTCTTCTTCGTGTGTTGCAAAGAGGTAGACGGGTAATGTAAGAGGCGCACTACCGCCACCAGCGGACTGTGGAGGAAAGATGCTATTACTTAATTTGATAAATTATGTTTAGAAACGACTGATTTGGTTGATTTAAAGATAAAAATAATAGTGCAAAAATTATTTTTTTTGTTCTGATATAACAATAAATACAACTTTATTAGCTATCAAGCTATGAAATATGTTTTGCGGCTCCAGACAAAAGAAATTTGGGGAAAAAGGAGCAAAATGGCTCTTTTGGTCAAAAAGGTTGCAGACCCCTGCCATAGAGGAAAGCCTCTGTTGCAGAAAGACAGGCAATCCTGAGCCTGAAGAGTAAGCAGAAACATATTTTGACAGTTGCTGAAGCAGCAGTCTGAGCTTGACACACAAATAAAGGCTGTCAAGAAAAAGTTTCAAGAGAATCATTTCAAGTTGAGGAAAGTGAATAGTTTTTTCTAAAATAACTCTGAATAACTGAAGGTAAGCGGATATCGACAATTGTGTTTTAGAGAAAGGGCATCAGTGCTGACAGCTTGAGTGAAGAAGATGAGAGATGTCCTATTTAGAAAAGCGTGTGTGTGTGTGTGTGTGTGTGTGTGTGTGTTAAAATAGCAGTAAAACCTATACTTAAACCCTCCATTAAACTCCATAACAACAAGATGAACTATAGAATTGGCCTATATTTCAGTCAACAGTCAAGGATTTTATTATTACTTAATTATCCTGTAAGTGTTCTTTGTTAGCAACCTTAACTCCTGTTGAGGGGGATCCTTAATGAACAGGAGGACTTAAGGTTTAGTGGTAGACAACTTTTCTTTCTTCCAGGTAGCTGTTTCTCTGCTGTGACCACAAGCTGCACGCCACCTGTATGACTGCATGTAGTAGATCAAACATATAATGTACCTTATGTCCGGTACTTTAGTCTCAATTTTAAAACCATTTTTCCCAAGGCTTTTATATCAACATAATTATCCATCCATCTATCTTCTCCCGCTTCTCCGTGGTCGGGTCGCAGAGGTAGCAGTTCCAGCAGAGAGCCCCAAACGTTCCTTTCCCTGGTCACATCAACCAGCTCTGACTGGGGGACAACATCATTATACTTTTTAATAAATGTTAAGCAGGGAGATTCATCATAAAAGCAACCATATGAGCACAGAGCACTTATCTTCTTCCGGCCTCATCTGGAACTTTATAATTTCTCTTTCAAGCTTCTTTCTGTTCGTTGGTCCTGCAGGCAGTTCTGATCAGAGCGCTGCTATTTTCAGCCAAGTGATTCATTCGCCTTTTCAGGGTAATAATAACAGTGGGTAATGAACCTGATGTAATGACATTAGCTGCAGCGTGCTGAAGGGAAGCAGGACTTCCGTGGTCATTATCTTTGAAATGACAAAATAAAGTGCTTCGAGAAGAGAACATAAAATATGCGTCCGTCTGTCTGTCTGTCCGTCTGTCTGTCTGTCTGTCTGTCTGTCTGTCTGTCTGTCTGTCTGTCTCCCTCTATATATCTATCTCTATCCCTCTCTCTATCTATCTATCTATATCTCTCTGCCTACCTCTCTCTCTCTCTCTCTCTCTCTCTCTCTCTCTCTCCCTCCCTCCCTACCCTACCCTACCTACCTACCAAGTTTTGAGTCAGTGGAAACAACCTGCTTGAATATAAACTTGTGGAGTATTAGAATATAGTTGAGTGGTTTATAAAATCTAATAAATGCTTTGTTCATATCTGGCCGGTGATACACATTTTTATGAGTATAATTCCGTTCACATGATGTAATGTCAATCAACAATTAATAACAGTTCAAACCCATTTAATGAGATCGATGTTAGACTTCAGCCCAGCTTCACGTTCTCTCTTCCATCATGCTGCTACCTGTTGGTCTGAGTGGTGACCCTTTGCTAAAGGGCACGACTGTATCTCTCTAACTACAGCATGAGACACTACGCAATGTCTAAGCTCTACAGAGGGAAAACATTATCACGCTGATTCCCTTACATACATAATGTAACCCAATGCATACATAATAAAAACATTGTTAAAGCCCGAGTGGTAGTTAGGATCAACAAGAAAACATCCACAGCATTTACAATCAGTCCAACAAACCTCTTCTTTGATCCGTGTTCGAGGCACTTTGATAACATACTGGAAATATATTGCACCATTTTAGTCCACAACGCAGACTTCAAGTTCAATTTACTGCACATTCAGAGAAGGGACAATGCCCCAGATGATCAAACTTTACATTAAAATACATAATTAATAGAAAACAATTCAATATGTTTGTAGTAAATACACTCTTTCCATGTGTCTGCCTGAGAGGAATAAACAAAGGAACATATCTTTGATCTGTGTTTATGACTCAAGGTTAGTTTCAGGGTAATTTACAGAAATATCTAACATTATTTAGTCAACTGTGCAGAGCAAAAGAGAGTAGAGAAAGACCAGGAAACATCCACAGACACAGTATAACGTGTTTGAAAATTGTATATATAATTAAATGTAATATCTAAATCAGGAACACTTTGACTGAGGATGTTATTCAAAAAAAGTTATTAGAGCTTAATAAACTTTGTTCTGTCAATTCATAATTTTGAACAAAGTAAGATCATTGAATTACTAATCCTAAAATAGCCTTTTTGCCAATATATGTCAGAAACAATAAAAGCCAACTTCAAAATAAAAAAGAATTGATTCAATAAGGAGTTATTTAAAAAAGTAAAGCACTCTAAATACGCTCTGAAGGAATGAATTCAGTCGTGTTGATCCCCGGGGAGAGCAGACACGTCAGTCTGTGTTAATGGGACAGAGCGTTCAGGGGGAGGGACGTCCTCTGACTCCCATTAGAGACACAAGCTATAAAAGAGCTGAAGACGAGACTGCAGCCGGCACTCGAAGACACACGGACGGAGCAAGAGAGTGTGTGAAGAGAAAAAAAATAAAAAAACACTTTGGTGAACGAGAGGCTGAGCCCAGCAGCAGCAGCAGCAGCAGCAGAGGAGACAGGGAAGGAGGAAGAGGGTGAGACACTGAGACAGACAGACAGAGAGAAGAGAGACAGAGAGAAGCGAGACAGAGAGACAGAGAGATAGAGAGAGAGACAGAGAGATAGAGAGATAGAGAGAGAGACAGAGAGAAGCGAGACAGAGAGAAGCGAGACAGAGAGAAGCGAGACAGAGAGACAGAGAGACAGAGAGAGAGACAGAGAGAAGCGAGACAGAGAGACAGAGAAACAGAGAGAGAGACAGAGAGACAGAGACACAGAGAGACAGAGAGAAGAGAGAGACACAGAGAGAGAGAGAGACACAGAGAGACAGAGGGAAGACAGAGGCATCAGGACGAGGAACAGGTTTCTTTCTGCAGCGCTCAGCCTCAGCAGACATGCCTAACTTTGCCGGCACCTGGAAGATGAAGAGGAGTGAGAATTTTGATGAACTTCTCAAAGCCCTGGGTAAGCCTCGTTCTTCCTCTCCTCTCCTCTCTCTTCTCTCACCCCTCCTTATCCAGTGCTTCATCCCTGCACGAGGTTGACTATCCATCATGTCCTTATTGAAAAAATAGGCTGTCCTTGTTCTCGGAGAATGTCACGCCTGACTCCCAACAACACGGTTTTGTCCTGAGAAAGTGACCGCAGAGATCTTCGGGGAGATGCTGCTTTCCAGGAGATATGAAACACTGGATTCTGAATTCCAGCCTAAACAGACGTGGTATTGTTACACGAAGAAGGGAAGGGGGGGGGCACAACATTATTCATGTAAAGCATTTAAGTAGGGCATGCATTAGGAATGCCAGGGGAGGTCTCTGGAGCCCAGTCCCTCTCTTGTGTCCTATCTTTTTCATTCTTCCCAGTCCTCTCTGATGATTGTGATGGTTAGATTTGGACCCGTTTAACTGGGTCAGGACATTGTTGTGCAGCGTTTGGTCACGCCGGGAACGCTCAAACCAACAGGACACATCAAAAGGGTTCGTGGGCCTTTAGAAACATGTTGAAATCTTTAGGGATAAATCCCACTGGGAGTACGGGGAGCAGCTTCAACTATTCTCCAGGAACTGTTGACACCAAACAGGAGGATGAGTAGAAGTTTTAGACATGTATCATCCCTTTTTAGTCAAATCTGGGAAAGAGAAGTTGGAATATAGACATTTTTTTCTTTGTAAAGAATAAACAAATATCAGTTTTATTGTTTGTTCACGCTGCTGCACACATGAGAGATTTCTTGTGTATCTGAGGGCATGTCTAGCTATAAAAAGGCTATTTAAACAACCCCTAATACCGTGTCTTCTACATTGTTCCTATCGACAACAAAAACCATACATGTATTCCAGGGTTCATACACTTTTACACTAATGACTTCTCCATGACCTTTACCTAATTTTCCATGACCAAAAACATTACTGTCTCAGCGGTACCACTGAAAATGGTTTATTTTAACATGGAACAGGAAAATAAGGTCTGCATATGAAACATGTTGTGCCTATCTAAAACAAATCAAATAGTAGGTGTAGGTGCCGTAATGCTACTTAGCCCAAATTCATTATTTGTATTATTATTGGTTTACGTCACTTTTATTTGTTTGTTGAGCACTTCCGGTAATTGTCACATGGGTGTGGTTTGTCTATTTAAGTCACCTGTTTCATGTCGAGTGGGATGACAGAGGGTGAGCTTGTGCTGTCATTTTTTCTGTTGACCGTTTTGTCCATAGTTACTATGTTTTGATTTTGTTTATTAAATATCCTTAAAACTATATTGCTTCTATATGGACTTTCTCTTTGAAAACGCGTCACAGTTTATAGCCAAGTTTAGCCTCTCGGCGACTCAAGCGTAACCGGGGATTGAGCCGCCACAGTAGGCTTACTAGCTTCTACACGCTAAAGCAACTAAAATCTCTCACCAGCAAAATACCTCGTCAGCTAAATGCCATTTTACGTTTCATTACTATACCATACAGTAT